CCAGAGCTGTGAGCCAGGATTATTGAGCTACTCACTCACCCCAGTGTCCCTGCAAGATGAGATCCTCACATTTGACCTCGGATCGCTCTGTTGTGCGGCTCTCATGGTTACTGCTTTATGATTATTGTTGTTGTTATTTTTTGTTATTTTATAGACTTGAAATTCTAAGCTTTTAAAACTGATATGGATTTGATATACATAATAAATTCTATTATTTACAAATGATAATTATAGATACCCTTATATCAACTTTATTCAATCTTCAGATTTATTAAGCTTTTTGACTTTATCCAGAAACTACAAATTCTGATTGGCCCTCACTTTTAATTTTGGGGGGATTTAATTAGGTTTATTGATTTAATTAGTTGTTTTAATGGAGGTGCTGGGGATTGAACCCAGGACCTCCTGCATGCTAGGCATACACTCTAACCACTGAGCTGTACCCTCCCCTGCGGCCCTCGGTTTTAAAGTGAGGACATGATTTCTATTTATTTGGATTTGAATATGCTCTGTGTTGGAACGAGGGCGTATTCCACACTGAAAGACGTTACGTGTTTTTCTGCAAGTTAGATGAAATTTGTGTTCTTCCCTTGGCTGGGTATGCATATGTGTAAACAGAGATGTCCCACGGCTCCGAGGGAAGAGCAAGGAGGACTTTGCCTCTCCTGGTCCTCTCACAGGCGCCCCCTGGAGAGCATTGGCACAGGCTGAAGAGCTGCGTGGAGTGATGTAGAGAGAAGCCAACGATTCTTGACAGCCTGCTGTGTACCGCAGACTGTGCTTCGTATATAATTTGCCTGCTCTCATTTGATTTTCTTAACAATCCCAGGAGGCAATTACCCTTTTCCTTATTGTGAGGATGAAGAAACTGAGGCCCAGAGATATTGGGTAAATAATCTAAAGTCACAGGACCAGAAGTGTCAGAGCAGAGAATCAAACAACATTTATTCACACTCCACGGTCAGCACCTCTCTGCGCTCCACGCTGTCCATCGTGGACTCAGGTGGCCTGGGGGTCTGAACTCCACACTAGGTTCCGAGTCTACTACTGCGTGAAGTTCCACGCGTTTCTCTAAGTTTCAGGGTTTATCAGGAGGTCAGAAAGGAAAAAAGACTTTGGCGCTCAGTTGGGTGTTTGCTTAACCACTGGCCTCCTCACCCCTTCCTTTGAGTGTGGATCGGGCGGAGGCTGAGGCTCCCCGGGGCTGGGAGGTGGCTGTGTGTCCCCCCGGGGCCGGCCGCGCACCCATGGCCATGCTGTTGTTTGGAGGCCTTAGCATTCCTCCCTTCAAACCGATTACTTTTTTGCTGTCTTAATGCAACATCACTGGCCATCTGGCTGATTTGAAACGTGAAGGAGACTAATCCTGTGCGGTAATGATCTGCAAGTGGAAAGCAAATATCTGGGGATATTCAGGGCATTTGCTTTTAAAAATCGATTTTTCTCTAACTTGTGCTAACTGTCCCTTGATCCTTCTTTAAAAGTTCCACCATTTTGATACTGTTTTCCTGGTAGATGCAGAGATATGTAAACAGAAATGTTTTTTTCCCCTTTCTTACGGATTTTAAAAAATGTTCAGAATTCTCATTTGCTGTACTTTATCCTTTTTTGTTTTTTCTACATTCCAAGCAAAATTTCATTTGATTTAAATTGACGTCAAGCCCATTTCTGGAGGAGCCAGTGATTGTGATCTTTAGATACACTGATTAGCTTGCTTTCTCCAACAACAGTTTAAGCTTGTGCTAACTGTGTGAGTAGATACTTTGACTCTGTGGAGCAGGTGGTGGGCACTTCAGGATTTTTCCTGAGGATTTGAACAGGTGCTCGAATGACTTCAGAAGATGGTCCTGAGTATTTAGATGCCCCTTCTCCCTGGGGGTAAAAGTGTGTGCTCTGTGCCTGGCTGTGTAGTTTCATAGTTCATTCACTGAATGTCTGTCGCATGCCAGACACGTACTGTTTTACATACATCATCACATCTCATTTCATCCTCACAACCATCCTGTGCAATTGTTACATCATGAGCTTGTGATTTTCCCTCTAGTCCTCAGACAAGGAAGCTGAAGTTCAGGTAGATCAATTCCCCAGTGGTTACACAGCTAGTACCTATTGATAGCAGGACTCACCAGATCTGTCTGATGTTTTCAACTATCACACTTAGTCTGGAAATGAGCTAGCAGGAAAGGTTTGGGAGATGAGGCTCGGGCAGTGGTAGAGGGCTTTGAACTCTAAGTGAGGCACCACACTTTGGATTCATTTATTCATTCAGTACCTGTTTATTGGGCACCTAACGTGTGCCAAACAGTCTAGGCTCTGGAGACAACACATTGAATGAAGAGCTTACATCCCTGGCTTCTAGAGGCTTACATATGGCTCTAGGTGGTTTTGAGCAGGGAAATGGCATGATCTGGTGTAAGTTTTACAAGGGTCCTGCTGGCTGCAGTGCGGACCATCACCTGCAGAGACTGCCACAGGGAGACCAATTAGGAGTGACTGCAATAGTCCAGGCAAAGGGGGTGGGGCTTGGACCAGAGTGGGAGCAGAGGTGAAAGGCTGGATTCTAGATGGGCTTAGAAGAAAACACCAGTGGGATTGGTTGAACCATTGGATGTGGAAATTGCCTGTCTAGGCTTCAGTTGAAACTCAGGTCAGTCTGCATCCCAAACCTGCGCTCTTTTAATGAGTTAAAATGCTCAAGTGTAAAGCAGCCCCACAGTATTCAAGTTTGTGAAAAACATAGCTCCTTTTCTGCACCTCAGCACTGGACTTATGAAAGGAGAGGACTTGTTGGTGTCCGGAGGAGGCAGGCGGAGCTGCATTTTCCAGGAGCACTTATCATCCAGGCTGCAGTCAACCAGCCTGCTCCCTTGAAGAGGGCCACATGCCTGGGTGTTAACACCTGTGTGGTTACCCTTGACATTTGTAGTGTGTCCATCTCCAAGCCATTCACAGTCCTTCCTTATTTTTCTCGCCTGTGGTGGGGCAAGAGGACAGACCGTCTTAATAAGATTTAAGCCCAGTTTCTTGTTTCTCTGCCTTTGTTATTTCTCAGAAATAACATCATCAGGTCCAAATCAGAAACAAGTCAAAAAGTGGAACTTATAGTGTACTGATCACTGTAATTAACTTTTACTGAGCCGACATAGTCAATCAAAAATAAGTTCTAGATACGTCAGACCTGCCAGTAACTTTAATAACTGCGGGATACAAATTTATATTTCCCAGGTCAATAAAATCACCACCAAGCTGTTGGTGCAGTAATGAGATGAGTACAGTGTCATCTGCATTCAATTCATTTTCATTGACCTTAAGCGAATGACCTTTTATTTCCAAAAAGGAGAGGAACATGACCATGGGGAAACATAAACACGGTATCTGCTCCACAGTCATTACATTACTAAGGATAGTGTGGGCAGCTGGCTATACTTGGGGATTTAGACCAAGAAGCAAACTCCTACACACCTTGTCTTGAAGTAGAGACAAATGATTGGGTTTCAGTTAATCACTGGAAGGCCTCATGATCTGCCTAGAGTCTTCTTAACTACATCTTCTGGATGCAATCTAATGTGCCAATGAACTTGGCCATCTGTTGGGTTCTGCTGGGCAGGTTGTCCAGTTAAGTATGTGATAGAGGCTCTCACTTCCTGGCCTGCAGACAGCAGTTATCACAGTCCCTTTCTTCCCTAACCTACCGTGGGGAGCAGCCCCGAGGGTACGCCTCTGCTGGGTCAGCCACACCTGGACCAGGCAGCCACACCAGCAGCAGATGAATGTACATGCCTCTGCTTGTCTCCTGCCTCCAGAACTCAGATGAGGGGCCCTACCATTTTTTTGAAAATTCAAAATCAATGGAAAAGTCATTGTTTTATTTTATTATTTTTCTCAGGGCTGCGTCCAAAGAGGACTCTGCGTTTGGTGCTTTGGACTGCAGAGGAGCAAGGGGGAATTGGTGCCTTCCAGTATTACCAGTTACACAAGGTAAGAAAGCAGCCATGGACCCCTAGGCATTTGCACATGTAACGTAAGTGTAAAGACACCAAAAGCACTGATGCTTTTGGTTTAAAAACTTCCTCTGTTCTCCTGAAGAGACTCTGTGATAGGCTGATCCTGGCAAACACCCCTCGCAGAAGCCTTCTTCATCCATAAAGGAGAATGAGCTGGGGGTGAGCTGGGGGTGCCATGATGGAACTGAGGGCTTTTCTATTTCTGCATTAGTCTGTGGCCTTAGAAAAATTCCAACTGCTACGTGACTGTTTTCTTAAACTCTGAGTATAGTTTTGCTATACTCATGTATGCCAGGGAAGAGTAGTAGGTTAGCATTTCCTCTTCCTACTGAGCCCCACCCCCATACCTCGATGTCCCAAATCCTGTGAGCACTGGTGTTTGATACCTTGAGTCAGCCGGGAGCATTGGTAATGGTGGTGGGAATGGCAGCAGCTAGAAGTCTCAGAGCCGGGACTGTGGAGGACAGTGTGGTTTGACACTGACTAAAATAAGGCAAGAGTGAAGCTTGAGGTAGAAAGTGGCAGTGGAAGGTCATTGGTAGAAATACAAGACCACATTTAAGATAGGGGACAGGGACTCCCGAGGCAAAGAAACAAAAGCAAAAATAAACAAATGGAATGTAATCAAACTTAAAAGCTTTTGTACAGAAAAATGAAAAGACAACCTATGGAATGGAAGAAGATATTTGCAAACAGTGTGACCATCAAGGGGGTGATATCCAAAATACACAAACAGCTTGTACAACTCAAAATCAAAATACCAAACAACCCAATCAAAAAATGGGCAGAAGACCTAAATAGACATTTCTCTAAAGAAGTCAAACAGATGGCCAACAGGCACACGAAAAGATGCTCAGCATCTCTAATTATCAGGAAAATGCAAATCAAAACCACAACGAGGTATCTCCTCACTGGTCAGAAAAGCTATCATCAAAAAGTCTGCAAATAATGAGTGCTGGAGAGGGTATGAAGAAAAGGGAACCCTCCTACACTATTGGTGGGAATGTAAAATAGTGCAGCCACCATGGAAAACAGTATGGAGTTTCCTTAAAAAACAAAAAATAGACTTACCATATGATCCAGCAATTCCACTCCTGGGAGTATGTCTGGAAAAGATGAAAACTCTACTTCAGAAAGATGCTTGTACCCCAATATTCATAGCAGCACTATTTACAATAGCCAAGACATGGAATCAACCCAAGTGCCCATCAACAGACAATTGGTTTAAGAAGATACGATACACACATACACATATACAACTGGAATACTACTCAGCTATAAAAAGAATGAAATATTGCCATTTGCATCAACATAGACCGACCTAGAGAATATCAAAGCTAAGTGAAATAAGTCAGACAGAGAAAGACAAATATTATATGGTATCATTTATATGTGGAATCTAAAAAATAATTCAAATGAATGTGTATACAAAACAGAAACAGACTCACAGACATAGAAAACAAACTCAAGATTACCAAAAGGGAGAATGATGGGGAGGAGGGATAAATTAGGAGTATGGGATTAGACAAAAACTACTCTACATAAAATAGCTAAGCAACAAGGATTTACCATATACAGAGAACTATATTCAATATCTTATAATAACCTATAATGGAAAATAATCTGAATATATATATATATATATATATATATATATATATATATATATATATATATATATATACTATATATAATAATATATATAGTAGTATATATAAACTATTACGTTACTATACGTAACAAGTATATAGTATAAGAAG